GGTTATAAGACATGATAACATTCCGAAAATAATTCTTGTTACTAACGTGTTATAGTAATGATAACGTTCCTCTTTATTTCTATAATAGATTTCCCAAACTACTCTTGGCTGTGGTTTCACTGGATAGTAGGCGGGGACAGACGGACAGTGAGAATCTTGTTAACCCCATTCATGCGCTTGTCTTCATGTTCTTGTCCAATTATGACAGTCATGATTAATATTTTTTAAAAAAAGGAAATTGACTTGTCATGATTAATACATCCAACACCATCAATGCTAGTGATGCACACCCAAATATACCTAAATTTCTCATTACCCATTGTCTCGATACTAGGTTAAATTATACAAATGAATTGGGATTGCGAGACAGCTATTTGATCATTGCCATGATATCTTTCAGTAGAATCATTGCTTCACTGTGATTACTGCTTCAACATGAGTCCTGCCACTTGAGCAAGAATATCCGGGGCAACCACGCCTTTGTTTCCCCAATTACTTTGCGAATGACATACAGTTTATACATGTGCTGTTACTCAAATCATGAAGCAGAGAGAATCCTGTGATAATCTTATGCTTTTTAACAAAGAACATCCTGAAAGTTTCCATTTGACCAATTTTGATCATCCACGGGTTTTGTTATGCTAATGGTTGATGCTGTTGGACAGGATGGAGTGACTATACCCACGACACAGATATCTTTACGTTTCGGTGGAGAGGTGAGAATTCTGTGGAAACTATGGATTTAATTTTTTGTACCTTTTATGCTTACTTATACTAGAAAGTTATTTTCACTTCTATTTCTTAGAGAAGCGTCTGATTTTTTATTTAGGGTAAACCATATAATTGACCGAGAACTTGTTAAATGAAGTTTTTGTTGATTAGTTTTGTTGTCAATAGGCTGCTTATGCTTGATAAACTCAAGAGGGCAGAGAAAACAAACTGTGCTCAATGATCAAGAATCTTAGGGTACCTTAAAATTACTGACTTCAGCATATGTGTTTTATCCCTGTTCAATCAGTCAATTAATTATGCCCTATGTTGCTCGAACTCTTCAAAAATGTTCGTGTGCGTGTTGGATCCTCTAAAAGTAGTGCAGTTTAGAAGGATGCGATATGGATGCGGCAACATTTTTTGAGAGTCCGAGCAACATAAATTATGCCTCAATGCCAAATTAGTTAGGCTGTGTTTATGAATCCCTTATACCCGTTCCTCTCTCTTTGGACCCTTTTATTCCAATACTAAATTGTTCATCTTGTAAAGCAAATTAGGGGTTCTCAAAACTAGATATTATCTAAATCTCACACTTATCCCTATACTTGCATACAAGTCTCTGACCAGATAATGAAAAGTTCAGATATATACTGCATTAATATGTAACTGTAACACCTATATGGAGCCTTTGCTTCCATTCTGTGATGTTCTTAGCCACGTTTATATTGATACTGAGAGATTGAATTGTAGGTCTACAAAGGACATGGACAAACTATTTCAAGCAACATCAGTTTATCTCTGTGTGTTACTTGTATCTTTTGTCAGATTTGATTATTTTTAATTAATCTTGTCCAATTCTGTATGACGACTGTGCATCTATCTTAACACCTATATGACATTGTTGGTATCAAAATAATTCTATACTACTTGCCGTTCACTTTGTTAGTCATCTTTTTATCGCATAGTTGCTCCCATAGCAATCTTCCTTTTCAACCACCTCATTTTAGTTTTATGTGTTACATCGTTATCTATCATGCTATTCTCGTAGAAGATTGAGTCTAGATTATCTGCATTTAAATATTACAGTCTTGTCCAATCTCACTTCACCTGCAATGTTATTATAGGATTTTAATACTGCAATACATTTATTCTGTCTTATATATACATATCCATAAACTTTTACTCTCCAAATAGCTTCTCCATAATTGATTATTCCAACTTCTGGTTGGCTCATTTGCTAGTTTCATCTGCAAATCGCATGTACCATGAAACCTCAATATGTATGCTATTGGTTAACTCATCCATAACTAGGGTTCTACGGGCTCAAGGGAGATTCCTAGTGTAAAGTGTAAACTCACAGTCATATGATTCCTTTGTATCTCCTTTTACAATTCTCACACTTGTAACCGCTCTCTCATACATATCCTTAGTGAGATATGTATATTTTTTTATGCGTTTCTTTCTTCTATGCGCTCACCAAAAGGACTCAGTTTGCGCACCTCCTCATTTCACCATCTTGGTCTTTAGACCTACCTAGAATATGTGTTTGGTAAAAAGAGCTTGTTGAACCGTCATTCTTTTCTTCGGGAGTCGAGAACCAGCTGACACAACAATAAAGCAAGTCATAATCTCTTCAATCCCTTCATTTATGTGCCAAAATAGGCAGAGAGATTTGGTAGGAAAATGGAAGTACTTTTCCCTGTTTGATGTATCATAAACAAAGTGAGTAGGAAAGCTGTAGTGATTTTTTTGGAAAACCCGTGTCTCCATCTTCGAGCTTAAAGCAATGTATTCAGTTAACTCTTCAATTTTTTTCTCACTGATATTTTAATTGGCTTTTGTTTTTCTTAGTGAAAATAACTTCTTATTCTTTTTAAATTATAACAGGATATATCAAGATGCCTTCTCTGGACTCAGAGGCATCATCAAACATGGCCACCAATTCGGACTGATGCCCTGTCAAAGCCTGTAGATTTGCTAGTGCTTAACAGACTTAAGGAGTCCTACTGTCAGATCAAAGTGAGTTTCCTAGTTTTTTTTTGGGAAATATAAACTCAAGGTTTTTAACATTTATATGCTAGTAAGGCATAGGCCATTACTGGATATTCCTCACGTTGGTAATCAAAGTATAAGCGGGGAATGTATATCCAGAAATGTCTTCGGCTGAACATAGACGATTAGTGGATGATCTTCAGTCTATTTCTTCGACTTATTCTATTTTAATCTTACCGCCATTTATAACAACCCTAGTTATGAATTGATGCATCGTCCAGGAACGCCTAAATGTTTAATTTATTCCACTGTCCAGGAGGGGGAAGTAGAAGCTGTTGCTATGGTACAATCATATGAAGATGGAATGCCACCTGGATCTCATAAGACAAGGCTGACTGCTCTTAATGTATTCATTTTTAACTTCAAAATCCTCTTGTATTTTTATTTTGCTTTTGTTGAATATGATGTGTGATTGCTGCCTTTTCTTTTACTTTCACATTCTAACTTTCCGGAAATAGGTTTTGCTTATGCCTCATAACTTTCTGGAGCAAGAGTTTCAATTGCAATAGATCGCACATTTACTGCTATCAAGGGAGTGCAGCTAGTGTTTTTTTCATGGAATTCAAAGAAAAATGAAAAATTAAATCATGACATGCTTTTGCAATTTAAGCTAGGATTTCACGTGAACAATTGGGACACACTTTTGCTGTTGATTATGAGATCCATGATAACTATTAGCCAAAGTGCAATCTTTTACAGTATCAAGTTCCATCTGTATTTCAACATAAAGAGGAAGATTTGGTGCTTGCCGATGACGACCCGTTGAAATAATGAGGTGTGATATTAAGTGTTTTTGTCTGATAATTTGTTATTACAGGTTCCTCCAATGGGTTTATTTTACCCAACACTTTTGGTTCCAGACGTCTATCCTCCGCCACCACGTTCTTGGTAAGTTAAGTACATATGATGTCACAAAATCCTTTCTTCCTCCTATGCTCAATAATTCCATCTAAATAGGTTTAATGATTATGATGATATGCTTGAGGACACATGGCACATGGACTTCCCTGGTGGTAGTGCATTTCCTATGTGGGAGAGCTACCCAATTTTTCAAACAAAGCCAAAGAAAGAAGATAATATTGGTGTAGCTGAAGCTATTACAAAGAGCATTCTTTTGACAGGTGATTATGGAAATATCTTCTATAATATTGTAGAATTTGAATATACACTTCCTGAACCTTGTTTCATACAATTGACAGGGCGTATTGACCTACAGAGAAAGTTGTTTTGCAGCATGCAACTGGTTAGTATTTCGACATTCAGCCTATACTTATTCTACACGTGGTTCGAAAACATGACATTTTTCAATTCTACAGATAGGTGGAGCTGCATTGAGTGATGGTCTCATTCCTGCTGTGGAGGAAAGGTTTGTTTCAAGTCCAGTTTTGCTTATACATTAAAGGGAAAAGAAAACAATGCCCTGTTGCTAAAAGTTACCACTTTCAAAAAACAATGCTCCTGTTGCTAGAAATTGGACATAATAATATATACATATAATCGATTAATATGTCACCCTCAGTTTGGAAGAATGTTATCATAACTAGATGAATGCATTTTGGTATATTATCAGGTAAGTGTTTGCAAGTAGAATATAGTTCACAATTTCCTAAGCTATGGATGATGACTTTAGGGGATCACTAGTTTGCTTAAATGCTCTTATGGTAACTGTTTTCTTTCTTATGCAGAGTATTACATGCAATCCCTTCACATGAAGCAATTGATACTGTGGAGGTGAGTTTTGAGCTTCTGAATTCTGATTTCTTTTCTATTCTAGTTGTTGGTCTTTCTTCTGTATGCATTTCTGAACTATCTTGTGGACCTTTATCTTACTCTTTGTGAGATACATGTGTCAGCTTCTTCATCTAACCAAATAGACTTTGTATCAGTCCTCCCCCCATTAGCATCCTGAAGTTTCATTATGTATTTGGCCTTTTCAAATGTATCCTGCAGATGGTTAGGTTGTTTTAGTGCCGAGAATAATAAATGGGGAAAACGAATGGAGAAGGGAAAGGAGAAAGTGAAAACGAATAAATGATAGTTCCATGGCATTTTCTTAGGAAGCATGGTACAAAATGCGATTTTAGCCGATTTAGAGCCCTTTGGGGTTAGTTGACTGAAAGTAGCTAAAAAACATCAAGTGTTGATAAGCACTTTTAAGTGTTGAAAATTATTTTTATAAATAAGCAATTGTGCATTTGGATAAAAGTGCTTAAAATCAGATTTATGTGTTTGGCGAAAAGGGATGATAAACACTTTTTTCAGTTAAAATGACTTAAATCCCTTGAAAGTTGTCTAAATGAAACAGGGTTGGTTATTGAAAGATTCTTATTTTGTGATAAATACAGTAGGATGTTGTGCAAAAGGGAGAAGGATGAACGGTGAAAATGGAACGGAGAGGGAGTTAGAAGTTTTGTTTAAAAGGGTATTGCGGGGATTTAAAATTGTTGGTGTGTAATTTAAAAACGGAACGTGTCCGGGTAAATATTGAATGAGTGCAACAGAATCTATTATGTATGTATGTCCATCCTTTTTTTTGGATTCACACTGTCCTTGTTGACTTTCATCATTCTGTTTTCTTATATTCCCTCTTTCTATAGTAAGTTGCTGTCAGGAATTTACATTTACATTTTGTGTACATATTAGGTCTTGCAATCTAGAATGAATCCAGCTTTTGTGTCATGGAAAGGCGGAGCAGTAAGTAGATGCTATTTTTATAAGTTCTGCTTTTTGTTCATCATACTATTTTTTAGTTGCTAAATCACACCATTCTGGTAATATGGCTGTGATACAATTATGAACTTTGTATAATAAGGTAAATAATACACATGCAAACTAGCCTCCACACTGCAGTTATCAAATGAGAAAAAAAAGGAGTTATGAATAATACTTTGTCCATTTCAAGTTATGTGGCTGGCATAGTTTGACTGTGAACGGAGTTTATGAAAGATTTTTGGAACTTGTAATTTTAAATATGCCATGATATTTCGGTGGCTATAAAAGCATGCCATTGAGGGTAAAATAGGAAGTTTAACATTAAATTGTTTCTAAATATAGACAGGTGTCGCTACTTTTGTAATAGACTAATTAGGAAATAGTACCACATAAAATAGAACGTAGGGAGTAGTATCTATTGTACCATTACCTGATGGTGTGTCTTTGCCACCAAGGAAATAAAAGGTCAGCAAGCTAAAAATATACAGCAAGCTAAAAAATGGAACGATTTTCTTTTAATCATGCATAAGGTGACGCCTGTTCAACCAAATCCCAGTATCATACTTCATTTTAAGTGTGTGTGAGGACTCCCTAAAGTTAGTTTCACTTTGACACTCTATATATATCTTTGCAGATCCTCGGCATTCTTGATATTAGTAGGGATGCCTGGATTCATCGAGAGGACTGGATCAGAAATGGGATCCACATTCGCAGTGGGAGAAAGTACAAGGATTCATATTATCTTCAAGCTCAGGCAATGTGTTATCTAAACTCATAATAGGTACAAATGATTGTTGCTCTTCCGGTAGTATATTCAGTTTAGATTACATCACAGTTTAACTAAAATCTGGCTGGTTTATGTGTTGGATTTTCTTTTCTTTTTTTCTCTTTTTTTCCCCCTCTTCATATTGAATGGGAAGGGAGTTGTGGGGGTGGG